AAAATAAATTTAATTATGTAAGGAACGCAATATCCAAAAAAGTGATTCACACCAATTTAGCTCGTTCTTCTTTATCCAAATGCCAAATTAGCTATGTAAGAAGATTATCACAAATATTAACTTATACAAAAATAATAAATTTACATAAATTACAATGGAGTCAAATACAATGCGTTAAAATCAGGATATTAACTTAAACAATAATAATATAAAAACTTACATAAAGTAAAAACGGAATCCAGTTCATTGCATACATTGACTATCTCTGATAATGAAGTTCTTTTATCTCTTGACGTGGTTTCATTGTTAATAAATGTTCCTATTGACTTGGTATTTGAAGGCATAGAGAGGAGATGGCATTTCATTGAAAGAAACTCGAGCATCCCCAAAAGGGAATTTTTTAAAGCCTTGAAATTAGTTCTTAATTCAACATTTTTTAATGACAAATTTTATAAATAGACCTTTGGTGTACCGATGGGTTCACCCATTGTAACTGACATTGTTATGCAAGATCTTGAAACAAAAGCTTTGCAGGATCTTTCAATTTCGACATCTTTTTATGTGAGGTATGTTGATGACATTGCGTTAGCATATGATGCGTCACACATTGATACACTGGTGAACACCTTTAATTCTTTCCATACCAGGTTAAAATTTACAACTGAAATAGGGCGGGACAGGTTAAATTTTCTTGATGTCAGCTTAATAAAAAAGGGAAATTCTCTTATTCATAATTAATACCACAATCCTACTTTTTCTGGTCGTTATTTGAATTATTTTTCTAGACACTCTTTGTGCCAGAAAGTAGGTACAATCGTTGGTTTAATTGATAGAGTTCTTTCTTTGTCCCACCCGATTTACCATCAAGAGAATTTCGAATTAATAATTAAAATTCTTTTAAACAATGGATATCCATTAAAACTTATATTTTCAAAAATAAAAAATAGGTTGTAAAAAAAATGTAAATAATGGAATGACCAGTGTAATACATCTAAAGACAAGACAACGGATAATAAGGAAGATAAAATCAATCACAGATTTTTTACAATCTCCTTTATACCATTTTTGTCTGAATAGATAAAAAAATTTTTTAAAAAAGACTCCTTAGTACGAATGGCATATAGGGGGATTAATAATCTTAGGGGGTTCATCAGGGGTCACAAAGATGTTCGTTCTAAATTGTCTCATACAGACGTGGTATACAGAATTAATTCTAGAGAATGTGAAGCATCATAAGTAGACCAGACAGGTAGATGTTTGAAAACACGCATAAATGAACATAAAAATCACATAAATTGGAACACTACACAACATTCCGTAATTACAGAACACAGAGTCAGTTATCAGCATGATTTTGATTGGGACAACGTAAAGATATTAGACGAGGAAAGGGTGTTCAATAAAAGATTGATTTCGGAAATGATCCATATAAAACAATAGAGGCAGAGTTTGAATTTACAGAATGATACGTATTCATTAGATCCATTTTACTTGGAATTATTTGCAGAATCGTGACGTTGTATTCTCTCTTTGTTCTTGGTATTAGTTTTATTTTATTTTCTTTTCAATAACTATGTAACTTTATTATTTTGACTTTCATTTCAACTCTGACTGTAGACACCACAACATCTTAACGTCGAATTACAAGATACACTTACATGTAAGCTAATATATAATTTAAACTTCAGATTAATTATTTTAATAATTCTCTAATTGTTCGTTTTTTCTTGTTTTCTTTCTTGCGAATGACTACATAGTAAATCTGACAATTTGATGTGATTCTATTTTTTGACGCAATGTACTGGATTCCGTTTTTATTTTATGTAAATTTTTATATTATTATTGTTTAAGTTAATATCCTAATTTTGACGCATTGTATTTGACTCCATTGTAATTTATGTAAATTTATTATTTTTGTATAAGTTAATATTTGTGATAATCTTTTTACATATCTAATTTGGCATTTGGATAAAGAAGAACGAGCTAAATTGGCGTGAATCACTTCTTTGGATATTGCGTTACTTACACATAATTAGATTTATTTTTAAATTGATAAGGACCCAAATCAAAGGGTTGAAACGTTGGAGTTGATCCATTATATTTAAATTCACATGAAAATAAAGTGTTTTCTGTGCATCCGAACAGCTGATGCAGGCTCTGACGGACTTTTTTATTATTTTTAATTGATATTTTTATTTTTATTACTATTTTTTTAATGCATTCTATCTTTATTAAAAATCAGCAGAAAACTCATTTCCTGCTAAACGGCTTGAGCACAAAAATCGGGATTACAGCAACAAATTAGCACATAAAGAGCACTAAATCCTCCCTGTGTTTCGTATGATTATGCCCATGTTGGTATTCTAGCTTGATAGACACGTACTTGTACCTAGGTATTGAAAATAGACTATCTTGTACAACACTGATCGTGTCTCCAGATGGCTGCTCGAGCAAATCTTCAATGCCCATCTAATCGCCAGATAAACTACTCCACATGAACTGTTCGAGTGGATGTCAGATCTAATAAATTTATCAAATGTAGTAAAGTTCTCATTAACAGGAGAATATAATTTAACAAAAGAATATCTTGCTACTCGATTTGAAAAAATTCTTAGTGTTATTAAAAAAAATGGTACGTTTATTGTAAACAAATTTTCAAACTTTTGAGATTAGAACGTACAAGAATGAGAAAAAAACTTAAAAATAAAAATGATCCAATTTATTAATAAATTTTTTCACTTAACCTATAAAAGACGTTATTTTATTTAGATAATATTTTCATAAATCTTTATTCCCTAAATAACTGTGAAACTAAAAATATATTCTCTGGTATCGTTATGAAATAACATGATTTATGTAATTCATCAACAGATTAAAAATCTACTAACATTAAATAATAGATTTAACATTTTGAAAAATTAAAAATCTTGAACGGAAATTTTGACCATAAAAAATATAGCTTAAATTCTTTGTATTTGTACTAAGAATATTAGAGAATCTTTTTATAAAAATAAAAAATATCGATCTTGACGAAGATCGACTTATTTATTTCAATAAGATTTTTCGAGTAGAAACAAAAACTTGAAGTTTTTTTCATATTTTTTCTTAAGAGGATGCTTTAGTCTTCTTTTTTTACCGATAAAGCAAGCGTTTATGTTCCTTGCGCGGTTCTTCGAATTAGTTGCACAGAATAAAAATTCCTTCTCCACGATTGAAATACCCGTGCTAATGTACCTGCTCCTGGTGTATTTTGTGTCCAAAACTGGGAAAAATAATAAATTACAGATTCCTGTATCCATGTGCTATCAGCTCACCAAATTTACTTCGTGATAAAATTATATGCACGTTATATGCTTGAAATTAGGGCAGGAGCACATGTAGAATAAATAGACGATTACAGTCGTACCTTTAGAATTAAGTTTTGACGCCTAAATAAAAAGATTAGCGCAAGGAACGAAACTGTGTGTCTAGCGCGTGAGAAATCGACGATGTATGACTGTTTAGCCATGAAACCGAGCAGTATTTTAGTTGATCTCTTTCTAAGAGATGGCGTTGCAATATGTTAGATAAGGACAGATGAATGCGTTTGAGTGAGACACAACGATATATAATAAGTATAAGAAATGAATGAAAGATGTCACTATTGTCGAATTTGGAATTTAAAAAAGTCTGTACTATCGACCTTGATTAACTTCGACCGTCACTCCAGCATCCCCTTAATAGAGAATTTCAAGACGAACAATTTGATCTGGTTATTTTTTGTTTTTTAATAATTTAAACAGAAGTTATGTTCAACTAAATATTTACGAAATAAAATAAATGGTCTCCAAGTATTTAAAAATTTTTGAATTATTTCCCTTTTGACCATTGTATTTAGAATAATTAATATTTACATCAATCGACATAATAAAAGACAAGACGCTACTAGTTTTAACAGGTTTCTTTTATGCGTTACACACATATTAATTCTTACGATTACACTTATCAGATATAATATTTCATATTAATATATACCAAAATAAAGTATAGAATAATTTAAAAATATTGATTTTTTATATAAGTGGCGACTTTCATGACCTTGGAAAACAATTTTTTTTCGAAAATTATATAATAATTGCGTACCTTACCCAAGCAGCAAAGCAAGGCATCCTGACCAAGTCAAAGCGAAATTGCCCTAATTAGGATAAAAATGACTAAATTTCGACCTAAAATATGTCCTAAAAGTAAAATTATATTTGAGGTTTTCTTCGGAGGTAAAAAATTATCTAATTTCAACGCATTATAATGGCTACAAAATCCATTTGTATTTGAGGTATTCTTTATAGGTAAAATATTACTTAATTTCGATCTATTAAATTCTCTCAAAGACTGGTGATGATTAAAAAGTTTCTGAAGTTATAAATAACCTGGTATCGAACTCTATTTATGCCTTCAAAGTTGAATAGACTTTCTAGTTGTCAAGATTAGGTAATTATTGATTTAAAGAAGTTCGTTGATATTTCAATGATGTTATTGCTAACTTCAAAGTCGAGATTATCAAGGAAAGTTATCAGGTAAATTTAGTCTGCACTTGATCCAAATGACCAATGAAATCGACTTCAAAGTAAATTGAACCAGTCTTTTCCTAAAAGTCTATATAACTTATATGTCAATTTTCAGACCTCTACTTCGCATAATACACTCTTGACTTATTTACAGAATATATATGCGTGTAGCAAATAGTATATACATTCTATCAAAAAAGTACCGGGAATTGATCATTTAAAAAGCCCGCTTAAAGGAATTGTCAACATTCTTTTTGTCGCTAAGTTGGCATAACAGTCCTCTATCCTGATGCAGAGTTTGAGTGCCATCTGTCATTTAATTTGTTTATAGTGCTCGATTTCGTCAGTTCATCTCAAGTGTGTTTTGCAATTTTTACAATGGATAAAAAGATCGAACAAAGAATTTGTCTCAAATTTTGTATTGCAAATGGAATTTCGTGTACCGAATCGCTGAAGATGTTACAGAAGGCTTACGGTGAATCGACTTTATCAAAAACATGTGCATATGAGTGGTACAGTGCATTGAAAAGCGGTCGAGATATGGTGAAAGATTTGCCTCGCTCTGATCGGCCATCAACGTCTTCAACTGAAGTTAATCAACATCGATAAAGTGAAGGAAATGGTGACCGAAAATCGTCATTTCAGTTTGAGAGAGATAGCCGCTGAACTTACGATTGCAAAATAAGTCCGAATGGCCGCAGGAAGGCAAGATCGAGTTCAAGAACGTATTTTTGCGCTACACGCCCCGCTGGAGGCGCCGGACTTAAAAATCTCAACTTCGTTATCTTTCCGCGGGAGAAAATTGGCATCGTTGGTAGAACCGGCGCTGGCAAGTCATTCTTAATCCAGGCGCTCTTCCGCCTGTCCGACATGGACAGTCTGACTGAGATCGATGAAGTCGACACAAGCCAGATAGGCTTGCACGATTTGCGCTCCAAGATCAGTATTATCCCTCCAGAACCGTTCCTGTTATCTGGCAGCCTGAGATGGAACCTCGATCCGTTCGACTCGTATATGGACGAACCACTGTGGCGGGCTCTTGAGGAGGTCGAGTTGAAGGAGATGGGCTTGGAAGCCCACATCAATGAGGGCGGCTCCAATCTTAGGGTCGGCCAACGGCAATTGGTCTGCTTGGCACGAGCTATTGTGAGGAACAATCCATTACTTGTGCTGGACGAGGCGACCGCGAATGTGGACCCGCGTACAGACGAACTCATCCAGACAACTATCAGGAAAAAATTCGAGAAGTGTACAGTGCTAACAATTGCTAATCGACTCAACACCGTTATGGACAGCGATCGTATCTTGGTGATGGACGCCGGTGATGGACGTGGTGGTGAGTCAATTTTTTTTTCTTCAATTTCAATTTTCTTTATTTTGTCTTTTTATAAATTTTATGATTAGACCTATCGAATGAATTTAAGTAGGTAACAAAATCTTTCCTTTCTGAGGTTAATCAAAGTAGGTATACTAGGCGGATTCTAACCCATGGGGCTAGAGGGGAGTGCGAAGCGCGGGGGGTACTTGGTGGCGCGCGGGGAAGGCGCGGGGAACCGTAGGCGAAGGAAGGCCCGGCGCTATCGCGGTGTTTACGTAAACACCGATAACAATGATACG